CGGAGCTGATTCCTGCCCGTGCTGATCACGGAGTCGGCGGAGCTGATTCCTGCCCGTGCTGATCACGGAGTCGGCGGAGCTGATTCCTGCCCGTGCTGATCACGGAGTCGGCGGAGCTGATTCCTGCCCGTGCTGATCACGGAGTCGGCGGAGCTGATTCCTGCCCGTGCTGATCACGGAGTCGGCGGAGCTGATTCCTGCCCGTGCTGATCACGGAGTCGGCGGAGCTGATTCCTGGCCGTGCTGATCACGGAGTCGGCGGAGCTGATTCCTGCCCGTGCTGATCACGGAGTCGGCGGAGCTGATTCCTGCCCGTGCTGATCACGGAGTCGGCGGAGCTGATTCCATGCCCGTGCTGATCACGGAGTCGGCGGAGCTGATTCCTGCCCGTGCTGATCACGGAGTCGGCGGAGCTGATTCCTGCCCGTGCTGATCACGGAGTCGGCGGAGCTGATTCCTGCCCGTGCTGATCACGGAGTCGGCGGAGCTGATTCCTGCCCGTGCTGATCACGGAGTCGGCGGAGCTGATTCCTGCCCGTGCTGATCACGGAGTCGGCGGAGCTGATTCCTGCCCGTGCTGATCACGGAGTCGGCGGAGCTGATTCCTGCCCGTGCTGATCACGGAGTCGGCGGAGCTGATTCCTGCCCGTGCTGATCACGGAGTCGGCGGAGCTGATTCCTGCCCGTGCTGATCACGGAGTCGGCGGAGCTGATTCCTGCCCGTGCTGATCACGGAGTCGGCGGAGCTGATTCCTCCCCGTGCTGATCACGGAGTCGGCGGAGCTGATTCCTGCCCGTGCTGATCACGGAGTCGGCGGAGCTGATTCCTGCCCGTGCTGATCACGGAGTCGGCGGAGCTGATTCCTGCCCGTGCTGATCACGGAGTCGGCGGAGCTGATTCCTGCCCGTGCTGATCACGGAGTCGGCGGAGCTGATTCCTGCCCGTGCTGATCACGGAGTCGGCGGAGCTGATTCCTGCCCGTGCTGATCACGGAGTCGGCGGAGCTGATTCCTGCCCGTGCTGATCACGGAGTCGGCGGAGCTGATTCCTGCCCGTGCTGATCACGGAGTCGGCGGAGCTGATTCCTGCCCGTGCTGATCACGGAGTCGGCGGAGCTGATTCCTGCCCGTGCTCCGGTTGCTTATCTGTTCGTGAGCGTGCGGCATCAAACTGCGCACCCCAACATTCCCGACGTCGTCGTGTTCAAAGTCAGCACGACAGTGTCGTCCCGTTACCTCACACGAATTACAGACGATATCACAAAACTACAAACGATATCGCAAGCTCCAATTTTTCCAGACGGCCCGGAAGTGGCTCAGTTAGTGTACGGCCCCTTTGCCCTAGCTCACTTCAAAGCCTACAAAATAACGCAAGCCTGGAGGCTTTCAGACGCGTTCCTGCTCACGAGTCCGACGTTGCGGAGTTGAAAACAAGACAGTGCACACAGCGCACGAGAATCCGAACATCGAACTGTAGCACGGCACGTGATAAAGAGCAAAAACGCTTAGCCAAGAAACGCTGGCGTGCCCGCGCAAAAAAGGCTTAGGCCCAACAACTCACCTTCAGACGTCACTGAGAGCAACTGGCCAGCACGGAGAAACTACCTGATTTCAGATAAGATCGAACAGGGGGTGGCTGGTCGACCTTTTTAATTTGCTCCATAATTTTATATGTTGTTTCCTAATGTCCAAAATAAACAAAATCAGAATTATTTTCACCCCAAAAAAAAAAAAATTGTCGGACGCAAAAAATCGTACATCACGTAGAGGTGGAAAGTCGCATTTGCTTGCATGGCCGGAGGGGGCAACTTTGGAGATTAATAACTTAAGTTATACTTCTTAGGTGACTTTAATAATCTTTTAGTACAATCTATATGTACTTAGAAATACGAAAACAATTATTGTTATTGTTTAGTATGTTTTGAAAAATAAATAAAAAGCATCAATTTCGGCTCTTTGACCGTTTTTCCCCCAACTTTGCAGGCCTGTATCTTAGGAAATAATTTAGTCAGAAACGTCATATTTTAAGTAAATACACTACTTATACATATAAGTACATGCACTGAAATTCAAATTTATTTAAGCGCGGGTTGGGAAGATTTCGGCAAGCAAACCCGAGACAAGCACCAAAATAAAAATATTTTAAGGGCGATTTAAAAAAAAATCCCGTTCTCGATTTTTTTCAAACTCTGACCAGTCATTCTACTCTATTTAGGGGTTACTATAGATTAAAAACATGTTGCATTATATTGATGGTGTAATAGATACAGCACCTCTACCGAACCCCTTCTGCGAAGCTCGGCACGGTGTGCGCCCCCGTGGGGCGACGCAGTTCTTGCGACTTCTTACTTTCAAAGAAAAGTTTTTTTTTTTTTTTTTTTTTTGTGATTCGAGTATAGCAAGTAATAGTTCTTCCACATCTTTTGCACGTTATAATAAATTGTGCATTATACAGAATAAATTACACAACAGACACAGGGTGATTTCAGATACGATCGAAAAGAGGGTGGCTGGTCGATTTTCTTAATTTGCTTCATAATTGTATATGTTATTTAACGATGTCCGAAATAAAAAAAAAAATCAAGATCATTTTCATTCAGAAAAAAAAAATCGTCCGACGCAAAATGTCGCACATTACGTAGAAGTGGAAAGTCGCATTTGCTTGCGTAGCCGGGGGGGGGGGGGGGGGGGGTAAAATTTGGTGATTAATAATGGAAATTATACCTCTTAGCTGAGTTTCACAATTTTTATGCACAATCTATGTGTACTTAGCAGTACGAAAGAAATATTGTTATTGTTTATTATGTTAAAAAAAATATAAAAAAACATCAATTTCGGCTGTTTGACTGTTTTCCCCCAACTTTGCAGGCCTGTAAATACTTTAGTCAGAAGAGTCATATTTTAATTCAATACGCTACTTATAAATGGAAGTAAATTAACTGAAATTCAAATCTGTATACGCGTGGGTTGGGGAGATTTTGGCAAGCAAACACGAGACAAGCACCAAAATAAAAATATTTAAAGTGCGACTTAAAAAAAAAGTTCTTTATTTCTTTTCTAACTCTACCCAGTCATTCAACTCTATTTAGGGGTTAATATCCATTAAAAACATGTTGCCCCCTTATCCGAAGCTCGGCACGGGGTGTCCCTGTGTTGCGACGCAATGATTGCAACTTGTTATTTCGTGAAAAGAGAGAAAAAAATATACATATATATATATATATATATATATATATATATGAAAACGTGGCATCGGGGTCGTCGGAGCAAATGTGCTCCCCATGCACCGAGTGGGCGGACAACATTCGCCGCGCCTTTGCGACCACAGCCTCTCCCCGGGAACGCTGTCAATTGCTGACCCTCTTGCCATCAACCTTGGCAAGAAATGAAGTCCAGAAGATCATCCCAGAGGCATCGATCTACATCATTAAAGGAGCTGTGCAACGATTTTAACGTTGAAAGAATTGGCATTTTCTGCTTTTGATATTGTTCACTGTGTCACAAATGGCAGAAAACACACCTCCTTTCATCGCAATGTTGCGATTCCGCCGCGTAATAGCGAGGCAAAACTTGGAATATTTCCCGACCTGCAGCCACGAGCGGCGGCCATGAGAAACAAGCGGCGTGACGTCACTTGGGTCGTTGTAAGAAAGATAGCAAGTTGTGCGAATATCTGCTCGATAAAAGGTAACTCTTTTTACAAATCTTGTCGTTCCAACATATATATAAATGCGTCAACACCCTGGTATCATCCACAAAACTTTTATTATACGGAGTTTTAGTGGCGCCATCTATCCTAGGTCCACAAAACCGCGAACAGCCGCCAGAAGCCGGAGGGGAGGGGGACAGCGCCGGACGGGCAAGGACGGGTGGTCACGCGGTCGGCAGCGGATGAGTTCTCGCTGCTCGCTGATGGTCTAAAGAGAGAACTTTTCCGGAACTCCGCGCCTACTCTAGTGACGTCACTGTGCACGTGACCCGGAAGACGATGCACGAGTTGAGAGGCGGCGAAAACCTGGATCTTTTTCATTTTTTTAAGTAAAAACTAGGGTATCCAGGCAAAATCTGTTTTCTGTAGTTCACTGCAGAAGTGTCAGGCATCAACTTCCACAATTATTTAAGCAAAGCCCTGAAATTGTTGCACAGCTCCTTTAATAGGTCCCGGAAGCTGAGGGGGGACCACGGCGTGTGGTATGTGCCCGATCCCTATACAAGGTGTAAGGTGAGCCCTGAAAACATATCTGCAGCGGTTGAGTACTACATGAAAGACGAGTTAGTGTTGTAAACAGAGTCCCAATCAGAAGGACGTCATTTCCGTTGTGCTCGATGGCCAGAAAACGCTCAAACCGGAACTTCTTATGACACGGTCAATCAGAGAAGCGTTTCGTGAGTATAAAAGTGACCATCCCGACTACGGCATCGGATTGACGAAGTTTTACTCTCTGCGACCCCGATCGGTTAAATGCAATCCCCAGCAAGAAGCGTGCGTTTGTGTGTACTGCGCAAACTATAACCTCTGTGTCGCCTCTCTACAGAACGCTGCTGGCTCACAACTTGACGCAGCGGAATTGAAGCATTCATTTGCAACCCGCCATCGCGCCAGTGCCTTTTAAGCGAATGTGACCATTGTCCCAAAGGCCAGTCTCTTACACTCAAAAAACTCAACATTTCCGAGGATGAAGAGATAGTTTTGGCAGCATGGGAGTCAGGCGAGCTCGCGAAAAAGACTTTAGATCCGGTCACTTTTATGGAAGAGCTTCGTGTGTCGGTCTCAAGGTGGATCATTCACAACCATATCAGACAGACGCAAGGCAAAGTCATCTATGAAGAAAAGCAGTGCGCGCAGCGTGGTAGCATTGTCTTCCACTTTGACTTTGCTGAACACTGGACTGTTATCCTTCTTGACGAGATTCAAGCGTACCACTGGAAACAAAAAACAGGTCTCAATATTTACGTGTGCGGTGACGACTAGAAAGTCGACATACACTTTTGCCGTCATCAGTGACGACTTGCATCGTGACTCCGCTCATGCCTGTCTGGCTGTACAAAAAGTGAGAGAGTGGGTCGATGACAACCTTGCTGTGTACTCTTATTTGACTTATGTAAGTGACGGTGCCGCCAGTCACATCAAGAATCGCTTCCAAGTTCATGAATTCAAAAAAAAATGTTTTTACCAAGGCCCAATGGCCACTGGGCACGTAAAAAACGGTTGTGACGGAGTTGGAGGGCTTGTCATACACCAAGCAACGCTTCACAACTTGAGACAGCTCCCAGGAAAGGCCATACAGTCTGCAAAACGCATGGTGAACAGTCTTTCCCAAAAACTAAAAGGAATGCATTTCACAATTCTGGACGAAGACGAGGTTGTTGAGTTCCGTGAGCGCAAAAATGACGGGTGGGTGGGAGAGCGCGCCTTTCCTGGTATTCAGTCGTGGCATGTGTGGCTATGCAAAACATCAGAAGCTTCGACCTGTGACTTGGAAGTGGCACGGACTGTCGGGTCCCCTTGGAAGAAACTCTAAGTGCGCACTGTCAGAAAATGTTTGCGTCAAAATCTGTCCATTTTGAAACCTATGAATTGCAGAACTGTGTTGTATGTGATGTGTAATTTATTATATTAAATGCTAAATTTTTAATAACGTGCCAAAGATGTGACACACTATTACTTGCTATACTCGAATTAATAAAAAAATACTTTTCTCTTAGAGTAAGAAGTCGCAATAACTGCGTTGCACCACAGGGGTACACCGTGCTTATCTTCGCGGAAGGGGCTCGGTAGAGGTGCTCTATCTATTACACCATCAATATAATGCAACATGTTTTTAATGGATATTACCCCCAAATAGAGTAGAATGACTGGTCAGAGTTTAAAAAAAATCGAGAACGGGATTTCTTTTTTAATCGCCCTTAAAATATTTCTATTTTGGTGCTTGTCTCGTGTTTGCTTGCCAAAATCTCCCCAGCTCGCGCTTAAATAAATTTGAATTTTAGTGAATGTACTTCCATTTATGAGTAGTGTATTTACTTAACATATGACGTTTCTGACTAAATTATTTCCTAAGATACGGGCCTGCAAAGTTGGGGGAAAAACGGACAAGGAGCCGAAATTGATGCTTTTTATTTATTTTTCAAAACATACTAAACAATAACAATATTTTTTTTTTCGGATTTATAAGTACATATAGATTGTGCTAAAATATTATGAAACTCACCTAAAAAGTATAACTTCGGTTATTAATCACCAAAGTTGCCCCCTCCGGCTATGCAAGCAAATGCGACATTCCACCTCTACGTGATGTACGATTTTTTGCGTCCGACTTTTTGTTTTCTTGGTGAAAATAATTCTGATTTTGTTTATTTTAGACATTGGGAAATAACATATAAAATTATGAAGCAAATTAAAAAGGTCGACCAGCCACCCCCTGTTCGATCTTATCTGAAATCACCCCCTGGATAGGAAAGAAAATGTGATACGGGACAATTTCTTTTATATAGTCCGTTGAGACTGCAGGCTCGACCAATAGCGTTCGTCAGGGCCGTAGTGTTCCATTTATACCTCTCTCGGTGCATTTCGCAGTGTGACTCTCGGGTTACGTATGTGTTACGTAATAACCCTTCTCATGAGCCTTTGGTATTGGAACCGCGCCCCTGGTGAGTTATAGTTTTCGCCCCATGTTTTTAGGATCAGAGTTAATAACTCTCTGTAGCTTCTGAATTCCAAGAACTCCCCAGATTGCACCACTTTTGTCCCTATTGTATCATCCGAAGCAAGGCGCACATGCAAAGATATATATATATAGCCCCGGTTCTAATAAGCAAATCATTATGAGACATTATAAATGTAATCAGGAACACGAAGGTCGCTTGTTCAAAGTGCTACAAAGCGCTGCTTTTAAACTGTGATCCAACTCCGAGTTCGGGCTGCAGGGACATCCCGTCCCTAGGACTTCGGCGATGAAAATGTCGCTGCGGTATCTTAATTATGGTGCTACAAGGCAGAGGATCGTGCCTGAAATTGATTCGGCAATATCTACGTGATCTCGTGAACGTTTTCGGAAGCCTCATCTGTTAGTTGTCTTTACCTGCGCTGGTTGTCGGTCAGCCCTTTGATGGTCTGCTAACGAAGCGATGCGCACAGGGCGTCTCTTTTGAGCAACAGATGAAGCAAATCTTTGTCAAATAAATCCTCAGCAAGCTCGCCACATTCGCGGGTTCTTGGGGCATGGCAAGGAGGCCAGCTTATATTATGGAACGGTTGTCCCTAGAGTGCGTACTGGGCCAACAGGTGCAGCAGGAGTGCTCCAACAAGCTAAACGCTCGGGCCAATCGCCACGTAGTTTGACAACGTTCAGATGACTGCTGAAAAAAGGACAGTTTGGTCGCGCGATTGCGATCTATTGGCAAGCACCAAGCAACTAAATTAGCCTGAAGCTAGCGTTTACGGGTATCTTTCAAGGAGCGATGACAGGTCCCAAGTATACAGTCGAATGTTGCAGACCCTGTTTTTCCGCTCTGCATGCCTAAATTGCCGCGAATTTCTCGAGATAATTTCGCTTGATGTGCCTAGCAGATAACATATAGAAAACACAAAAGACGCATGCGAGATTTTTGTTTGTTTTATTGTATCCTTTGCTTCTTCGCAACTTCTATGCATCGTACCTCCCGTCAACTGTATGCAGTGCGGTGAAGTGTATAGTGCTAGATCGCAATAACGGGCTAATATTGCTCCTATTTTTTTAAGTAAAGCGTCCAGGTGGGCCGATGTTTGCGCCGATAACGGAACTTGGTGGATACCCGGGCCTCGAAGTTTTTGCCTGTAATTCTTATACTTCCTTTTTTCTTTGCCTGTGTGTGTTTGTGTGCGCGCGCGCGTTTATGTGCGTTCGTTTGTTTGTTCGTGATTCATTGTGGTCCAGTAAGGGATGGTGTGAACTGTAGATCGCTGACTAGGGATTCCACTTCCCACTTTCTTTCAAAGTGAAGGCGCAAGGGGACTATAGCTGAATCGGTATCGACCTTTGCTGTGCCTGAACTGACAATTTCAGGATAAAAACGAGCGCCTTTTTCACTCGCGGATTTTTGGCGGGAGATTGACTTGAAAAGCGTTTAGTCTGGCAACGGTACATAGTTTTCTTGTTGTTTCTTTTTTTCGAATTGTCTAGCGTTACGCACGACGTAATTCAAGTTATGTCCAAATCTCCGCCTTCCCTATAGGTACACGGGGGAGAGAGAAGAGGGCGGGTGGGAGTTTCAGTGCTTCGTCCGGACGTAACGCTGCCCACAGCGTTTTTTTTTTTTTTTTCTGGACGATTGAAACAAAGCTTGCGCATGATTGTGTTTTGCCGGTTCGGTGGTTCATTTTGTAGCGCTATTCTGGGTTCCGCGCGTGAGAGAAACTGCAGAAACTTTGTCCGGCTGACGCGACGCAGGTTCCGGTACTCCTCCGGGTCCGCGTCAAGATGTTCTCGTCAAAACTCGTCTAGCACGCCGCGATAATTCTTGCACGTCCAATCAGGATTTCACCGAGCAAGTCCTCTTCTGTGGCTGTGGTGTACTTGAGTGTTGTGCACGAGCGCGGAGTGTGTAGTGTTTGAGGGGCTATACTGCATTAGGATATATGCGCAGGAAGGCTTACGGTACGACGACGATGGCGTGGAGGGCAGCGGCGGCCCGCGGCCAAGCGGACACGCCGAAGGAAAAAGGACACGTCCAGCCCCGACGAACGCTGCTACACTTCTTCTTTATTCACGCGCACCAGGGCGATTAAAGGAAAAGGGGCACCCTGGTGGCGATTCATAAACTCAATTACAACATTTCTCCCTTCCTAAAATAAAGCAAAAGGAGAGCAAAAAGAAACGAAATCTATCAGGCTACGAAAGGTATTTACAACATATCATTTAAAATGATAAAATAAAATAAAAAAAAGAGAGAACATGAAGAACGAAATAAATCTGGGAACCAAAACTATTTACAACACATCCTATCCCGCAACGTTTCATCATGAGCACACAGGGCACAAAAATTCATTCAGCACACACATAATCGCAGACATAGTCGTCGAGCCAAGCTGGTCGTTGCTTGGGTCGCTGCGGTCGGGCTGGGGGACGTGAAGCTGGATAGTCATTCATCAGCCCACCAAGAGGAATGAAAGAAGGTTGCTCCTGTTCGATATTGTCATGATCCGGAGTTGGTGAAGCAGATCTGGCAGAGGTTGATGCTTCGCTGTACTCGGTAGTTCCGCTCACTTCCGGTGACGACTTTGCGGGGGAGGACTGGTCCAGATGGCTTGGTCTAGGGGAACTTCGCTCTGATTCTACAGAGTGTAGACCAGGCGGAGGAGGAGCACTGGCGGACGCTTCACGACCAATCACGGAGGGTGGTTCAGTGCCGAAGACACCAGGAGGTGGAGGAATTCGTGAAAAGCTGACGGGAGGAACGGCAGGGATGGGCTGAAGAGGTGCACAAGGAAACAAAGCTTCATCAGCCGCCCAGGATGATCTGTGTGATCTGTGTGAGTACGTAGGTTTGAGAGGTGTACGAGTAAATTTGTCGGCATTCCATGTTGTACCATCATCAAGTGTATATGTAGAAGGACCAATTTTCGCAGAAATCATCTGTGGTTCAGAATACTTGTGCTGAAATTTACCATGGTGTCTTGGCTTATGGACCTTTACATACTGTCCTGTTTTAAAAGATGGCACTTTCACTGCTCGCCTTGAGTCCGAGTACTTTTTCATCTTTGCTTGGTACGCCTGTACCCTTTCCGGCAGGTCGCGCTGGACAATGTGCCGAGGTAGAGGTGGATCCGGAGTTGCGCGTCCTTGGATGTGTAGGCGAGTCCGATGATTTCTTGCATGCAGCAGAAACGCCGGGGTTTCACCTGTGGCCGCATGCCGAGTGCTTCGATAAACTCCAAGGTATTCAGTGATGGCCTCTCGAAGCGGACGGCGTTGCACCATTGCCAACTGGATGACGGACTTTAGGACTCTATTGAATCTTTCAACTTGCCCATTACCTTGAGGGTGATAAAGGGAAGATTTTACGTGTTTTATGCCATTTGTCTGTAGGAACTGGTTGAACTCATGGGATGTGAATTGTGGACCGTTATCTGTTGTTACCTCGAGAGGCAGGCCCTCTCGAGAAAAAATCGATTTCAAAAAGTCAACGACTGACGCTGTCGTGACGTTGTGGGACGAAGCCACTTCCGGCCACTTGCTGTGGTAGTCCACCAAAGTAATGAAGTAACGTTCTTTTGGTGGGGCTTGCTCAAACAGCCCAACGATGTCGATGGCAAGCTTGGTCCACGAACGGGAAGGAAATGCTACCGGCTGTAGGGGCGCCGGGGAAGCCTTAGCGGGCTTGTCGGTGGAGTGACAAACAGTGCAATGCTGGATTACGTTCTTGATGTTTTCTGCGATATGTGGCCACCAATAAAGTTCCTTTATAAAACTCGTCGTCCTCGATATTCCTTGATGGGTCTCATGGCCGATCTGGATAACCTTGTCGCGCAAACTCGGCGGCA